AATAATTATTTCGTTTCCTTCCTGTGGACTTCATCAGCTGATTAAGTGTGAGGACAACTAACAAGAAATTGGTATTTAAGAAACTGATTAAATGCGCTATATACAACAACGATAAAGGACAAAACGTATTAGGCCTATTATGTGGAGAAGGAGCATCATATTGCCATGCATAGGGACTAGTAATATTCAACCAAGGGGGTACAGTATAAAATTGTTTATATTATTTTATACCTCCGTGGTCTAACGGTGCATGTGCAAGAATGCAAAGTATTGGTTGATATAATCGGATTTAAATATGGCCCTGTATAATATTTGAATTGTAGGAATTTATTAAACCTAGGGTTTATCAACATTTTTTGCTATTTCTAATTATATACCGAATAATAATAATAATAATAATAATAATAATAATAATAATAATAATAATAATAATTTATTAATAAAAATAAGTAGTAATAATAATAATAATAATAATAATAATAATAATAATAATAATAATAATAATAATAATGTAGTTTTATATGAATAAATAAATCTTTATTTGTTTAACTTTATGTTGTCCTTTAAATTAATTTAAATATAATTTTTCTGGATCCGCCCTTGGCATTTATCTCAGTAATTCAACAGTATTAACACAGCCTGTAATTCGTATGGTTTTAAATCCTACCAGTTATTGTCACACAAGATGTATTGCTTCTAGTTCTAGTTCTGTCCTAACCGGTTTTCGTATCCACACTCGTTCTCTATAGTAAGTGTATACACCATAGTTTTCAGTACCTATACAAGCCTACCTGTCCTGCTACGTGTGATCATATCACACACGTTCACTACCGTTGAAGCATGTATTGCATCTAGTTCTGTACCAAGTTTTAATCATAATAGTCACCCACATTAATTCTAAATAAGTATACATTGCTATATGTAGCATTTCTGGCTAGTTTTAGTATGGTAACAATATTGGTTTTCGTATCGTTTAACCATACTCGTTTGTTGTATGGTCACCCATACTTGTTATTTCCAAATAAGTGCTTTGGGTACTTTTCAGTTTCACAAAAGCCTTTTTGAATAGATTTCGTATAGTTTTAACAATACTCGTTTTCGTAAAGTTTCACCATTTACTAGTTTTCGTATGGGTTAAACATACTCGTTTCTCTTTATAGAATAGTCATAATGAAACGATTGAGTGCTCAATCATATTTGACACAGGTCAAAGTCACATTCTTTCTTTTGTCATCAGACTTCAATCGTTTGAAATTGATTGTTTTCCAAGTAATATCTATTTCTTACCAAATCATTCACATTTGATAATTTGTAGCCTAATGATTATTATTTAATTTTATGTTATAGGTCTTATTCAGAGCATCCCATTATGGTATTCTGAATTAATAACTTCTTGTTCGCATTACAGTGATACGTGCGTTCTTTGTGCAATAGATTTCCCTTTACTCAAAAAGAAATAAATAATTTACCACCAGAACCTTAACTTCAGCCTTTTCTTAACTTATTTGATCCCTCTGTAGAACAGTCAAATAATGAAGGTTCTCTTTACATATCCCTAGAATAAATAATTATTCCCAAATAAAAATAATATAATTCATTATCAAAATAAGAGATTAACTGGATTACTAAGCATGCTGTATTGTAAGGCATTTTCTAAACAGAAAGTCGTTAAAGCAGTAAGACCAATTACATAGTTTAGCTGTCACTTATACACAATCACAAACGGGTATTGGATCTTGGGACATTTTTGTTAATTTGAATATAATTCACGCAAAATGTAATATAAATTATTTGACATTATATTCCTTTTAAGAAAAAATTATTATTTTAAGATTTAAAAATGCATAGGCCTATGTTACGTTGACTTAATTTTAATAGATGATGGATTTTAGACAAAACTCCTTATGTTAATGTGTTTTTTAATTAAGTTCGATTTCCTGTTCGTGGTTTTTGCTGAATTTAAATAGTTGATAAAAAAAGCGGCTTCATTAGTTAATTTGATCAATTTGGGGCAATATATACCTATATTCATTCATATTACTTATGTTAATGTGTCCATGATTTAAGTTCGATTTCTTGTTGGTTTTTGCATGTCTATTTTAATTGACAGAAAGTTATTTTATACCTACACAACTTTAATAGTTTACATTGAAAGAAATGTACTTGAAATGTTTTCTTACTACTGATTTCATCCATAAAGGTCTCGTGATCAGTTCCATTGTATCGGGCTCTGTGTATTTTTGTTAATTTGGCATCAGTCCAGTAAAGGAAGCCTTGCACTGGGTCATAGTCTATTGCAATTGGCCTGCCGATAGAACCTTCAAAAGTTACTTCAGTCAATGATGTAGGACCAGTTGCCGAAAAACTTGATGTATAAATCTTATTCTCGACATCATTAGTTAACAAAATCTTTTCTAGTCCTACAGAGAGAAATCATACAATTACAACATTAATAGGTAATTATTTTAACTAGGCCTAGTTAATGTCTCAGATAAAAATGTAACAGATAACAAGTTAATGGTGATATAAGAAGGTTTGTATCTGTTGGTACTGGTACAGGGGTGGCGCCAGGGTTTGCCCGATGGGGGTGGGGGATGTCCCCGACGGGGGAGGCGGTCCCCGACGGGGGGGGGGAAGCCCCGACCAGGGGTCAGATTTCCCCGACGAAACCATAGTGGGCGTGGTCGAGCTTCGATTAACAGGTTCCAAAAGTGGTCCTGGGGGCCAGAGAATATCTCAAATAATATAGACTAATATGAACTCTAGGAACATCATAGAATGTGTGCCAAAATCTGTATCCGGAACGAACAGCCAGTAAATGACCACACCATTTTAAAAAATAACCACGACCCCTTTTTCATTTGAAGTGCTAATTTAAATAGTAGGCTAGGCAATAAGAACATATTGCAAAAAAGGTTTTTTTTCTTTTATAAAAAAAACACATGTTGAGGGGATCACATTTCAGAAATCTCACCTTAATCACAGGTCCCATTAATATGGAAATTAGCATAAATATGAAATATTTCCAATTGTATGTTTTATATAATTTTTTTTTTTTTTTTTTTTTTAATTGATATAAGGGCCACACCCCTTTTTTAATTGGAAGTACTACAATAACAGTAGGCTAGACAATTTGAACATCTTGCAATCAAGGGTTTTATAAATGAAAATATGCGATGGGGGGATAAAATTGCAATAAACGAACTATGGTCACCTGTCCTGTTCATATCCAATTAGCTAAAATATGCAAACAAAATTAAGGCCATGCCCTTTTCTAATTTGAAGAGTAATTTCAAAACGGTAGGCTAGACAAACTGAACATGCACAAACAATAGTCCTACTTTTATAAATGAACACATGATGAGTGAATAAAATTTCAGAAATCACACTGTGGTCACATATCTTGTTCATAACTGTAGGCAAGACAATCTGAACATTTTTTTTTTAAATAAATTAAACGGAAATCAAATTTCAAAATTCACACCGTGGTATATGGGTCACGCTCCATTTTTATATTAAGTGCTACCTAAACAGTAAGGTAGTCAATCTGAATGGGATTTGGTTGATATTTCTGAAATCTGATCCCCTCATATGTGTTCATTTATGAAAACAAAAAATCTTGTTTGCAATAATGTTGTTTAGCCTGCTGTTTAAAGTAGCGTTATAAATTTAAAAAAAGGAGGCATGGCTTCTAGTTGCATTTGAACGAGACGTGTGAGCATGGTATAATTTCTGAAATTTCATTCCCTCATCAACTCTGTTTATTTACAAAAGTAAAATCTTTTTCAGTATTTTCAAATTACCTACTGTTTAAAATAACACTTCAAATAAAAAAGGGTGTGGCCTCAATTTTGCACATTTATGATAATTTGCATATGAACGAGACACGCGACCATAGTGTTATTTTTGAAATTTTGTCCCCTTATGTATTTATAAAGGGAAAATCATTGTTTGATTTTTTTTTATTTATCTAGCCTACTGTAAAATAGCACCAAATATTAAAAAAAGAGGCTTTTGGTCACCATTTTTTTTTTGCATATTTAAGCTAATCTGCATTTCAACAGGGCATGTGACCACAGTATAAATGTATATATGTGTTCATTTATAAAAGAAAAACCCTCGTTTGCAGTGTGTTCATATTGCCTAGCCTACTATTCAAGGTAGTGTTTAAAAAAAGGGGTGTAATACCTTTTTGTGCATATTTATGCTAATTTGCATATAAACAGGATATCTGACCACAGTGTGATTTCTGCAATTTTATCCCCTCATCATATGTGTTCATTTATAAGAAAAACACTTATTTGCAATATTTTCAGATGGCCTAGCCCACGGCTAAATGTAGTGCCTGAAAAGAAATTAGGGACTTGGCCCTATTTTTTCCATATTTAATCTAATTTGCATAGGAAAAGGACATCTGATCACAGTGTGATTACTAAAAGTGTATCCCTATCAAATGTGTTTATTAAATTAAGTAAAGCCCTTGTTTGCAATATGTTCAGTTAGTCTAGCCTAATAGGCGTGTCTCATATTTTACATAATTAAGCTAATTTTTCTATATGACAGGGTCTTTTGATTAAGGTAAGATTTCTGAAATTTAATCCCCTTATCACAATGTGTTCTTTTATAAAAGAAACAAACTTTTTTTTTTGCAATTTTGACTAACCTACTGTTAAAAATATTAAATAAAATAATAGGGCGTGGTCATTTACAAAAGGGTGTGGTTTTTTCAGGCTGTTCGTTTAGGATACAGATTTTGGCACACATCCCTTGTTGTTTCTAGGGTTCATATTAGTCTATATTAGTTAAGATCATCTTCTAAATTTAGTGCATACAAATCTTAGTCAGGTCATCTACTAATATCAGTAAATAATTTTGCTCTGGTGTGGGTAACGTGTTATATATCGTCAGCGACACCACAAAGAGACACAGACTTCAAAAATCATATTTTTCCTTTTATTTTCTTTTGACATTTTGATTATGTAGATCGAACTTTGAGCACAAACCGTGAAAATTGATTTTTTTTTTCGTTTTCACGAAAGACACAAAATGTCAGTGGGTTAACAGAAGACGCGCGTGCGGCGTTGCTATCTCGTTGTGATCGGGTAGATGAGGCCTGGCTGGGGTAGGGCTAGAAGAAAAAGCTTAAATTCCTTAACTTTTTCTAGGCATAGCGGTACCCTACTTGCAGTATAACCTGGAATAGGCCAATACACATGCATCAAGTGTAGAATTATTATTAAAATCATAATGGTTTTAGCAGGATGAACCTAGTTTGTAGGCCTGTAATCACCCTTGTCTGCAATGATGAAACATAGGCGAAAACACATTTTGTGTCTAACAACAAAGCGCGTACAGCGCGTAAAATGAGATTTTCGTTTTCACGAAGAGACAAACTTCGCTGTACGTGTAATCAACCTATGTTAGGTAAATTCTTATTGTTTTCACAAACAAACACACACTCTTCATGCTAATTAACAGGTTATTTAAGAAAAAAAAAACATTTGAATATTTTAATGCTTTATCTTTAATATGTAAAAAATATTCACAATGTTGATATCTTAAAAGTGAAATTTGCTGATTTGTGAAGTAGTCAACTTCAAACGTGTTTTTCTCAAAACTTTATTTTTGTCTAAATTGAAGTTTGTGTTTCTCCGTAAAAAAGGGGACGATGTGTATTAAATGTTATGTTTTATAATTAATTATTGTCTAAACCTTTGTACTGTGATTCCGTTAATTCTTTTATCTCAATAAAAAATGGCCCTTGCCCATTTCCAAACTGTCGGAGCATCGGTTGTGGCTTAGAATCTTAACCTCTAAGTCAGGGGGTTTGCAACTCTTGCTGTGCAAGTCGCTACTTCTGTTTCCTTCACCTAAGAGTACAAATGGGTACCTGGTAGGTTCAAACACATTAGTAGGGAGTTTTCGATGCATGAAGTTAACCTTAACTTTAACGTTAGTACCCAGCATTTAGTGCGATAGCTCCGCCCCTTTTGTAAACAAATCGAAATACGCATGCGCAAACCCGTAACTAACGTGCGCCGATAGCATGTAAAATCTTGAAATTAACGTACTCCGCAACGCAAGATGAATAAATTATGACGTCATCCGTTAACTTTAAGGTTTACGTCGTGCGGCTAAAACTGCCTAATGTGCGTATAACTGCCGCTATATTCTATAATTAAATAAGAGATTGAATACAGATAGATACAGTCAAATACATTTTGAATACAAACGGTCCCAAAATTTAAAAAATGAATCCAAATGAGTTCAAATATAAACTGTTACTCGAAATACTTCAACAAACGGAAAAAATTGTTTAATGGAAAATATGAAATAAAAATATATGTAGTGTACGTAATAGAAAATGTCTCTCTATGAACAGTGTACAATTACAGAAACATTGTTAATAAAAGTACGACAGTCAGACCGGGATTGTCATTATTATAATCTCACTAGGAGATATATATTTTCGTTCATGTAAGTTTTGGTGGGTGGGGGTGGGTGTACGTGTGTGTGTGTGTGTGTGTGTGTGAATACGTCATAAAAACAGTTTAAATATACTTAGCCAGGTCCCGAGCCGGGTACTCACTGCTAACGACGATCGTGTCGGCCTACGCGATTCTTTGAAGAACACAGCGCCCAGAGACAAGCGTGAAACGGGTCTCTTTTTTAATGACGATCCGTTAAGACGGATGCCACCGCACCGGATTCTGCAATTAGTTAGTACATAAGTAATTGTTAACTTGTGAGAAGTAATGCAATTGACTCTCTGTTAACTTTCGACATTGATCAATAATGATCTCCGTTAGCAAGTAACCACTTCAGTAACCTTTTCTCTAGTACTAAAGGATAGGCATACCTAGAGGAAGTAACTCACTACTCCAATAATGGATTTTTAGTGTTGAAAACAAATCTTATTATTAATTATATCAAATATTTGTATAAAATTAAATATAGTGTTAACAATTTTATAAATATATACTGCTTTTCTGTGTATTTTTAAGACCCTAACAAATGAAAGATTTACTTTTGTGTAAGGGCAAGACCTGGGCCTAGCGATACAGTAGTACACGATAGCATCATGGCGTATGAACGTCGTGCTTTTGTGTATTTCAAAATTAAGAAAATATATAAAAATACAGTAAACAGGTAAGCCTAGAATGTTTTTTCCAAAACTCTTCAACAACACAGTCAACAAGGAGGGTGCTTTGTCAGACTCTTTCCAGCCTACTAGCTTAGGCCTCTACAGGCCTGGCCTAGGCTTCGTATTAGGACAGTTAACCCGCTAGGCTAGGCCCTAGCTAGGCCTACATTGGGACATAGGCCTAAGGAGGCTCAAGTTAGGCCTAGCCCCGGTCTGCATAAGTAGTAGGGTCGAGAGGAATAGAGTTATAAATATGTAGGTGCCTACTGCCCCGTC